CGCACAATTAGTCACTCTCTAGCTGTTTTGTTTGAGGAAAAAAACGCGCGTGTGTGTGTGTGCAGGCGCACATAGGTTCCTGCCCTTGTGGCATTTGTACTTTGTGCATCTTTCTCTAGTGGGAGAATGATAGGGAGAGATTAGGACCAGCCAGCACACACCATATGCACAGGACACGTTCACCCTGTGACAAGCTTTTCAGGAGGTTTTCTTGGCGATCATACTTACTAATCTTCCCCTAACCCCACTTACCATTAACTGAAAAGTGCACATAATTGGCTTAGTGGAGTCACTAATGCATCTCTGTGAGCCTGCATAGGCTCTTAACTCTTTAGAACCGACTTCTTAAAGGGATTAAGCTTCTTTCCAAAATCATTTGCAAGTGCATTTCAGAAAAATCGGGGTGTTTAAGACCAGAATGACTTTAAGGATCAATTAACCACCTCCCCTGTTTTACAGATGAGGCCACTGAGGCCCAATTGAATGACATATGAAGCTCACATAACCACATGTATTGCTTAAAGACAGGGAAGGATACGTTCTGAGAAATGTGTCATCAGGCGATTTCATCATTGCGTGAACATCATTGAGTGCTCTTCCACAGAGCCAGATGGTATAGACTACTACACACCTAGGCTCTAGGGTAGAGCCCATTGCTTCTGGGCTATAAACCTGTACAGCATGTTACTGTCCTGAATACTGTAGGCAGTCGTAACACAATGGTGGGTTGTTGTGTATCTAAGCATATCTAAATATGTAAAAGGTTCAGTAAAAATGCAATATAAAAGATTTTAAATGGTACACCTGTACAGGGCACTTACCGTGAATAGAACTTGCAAAGCCGGATGTTGCCCTGATGAGTCAGTGAGTGAGGGGTGAGTGAATGTGAAGGCCTAAGACATGACTGTTCACTACTGTAGACTTTAGAAACACTGTGCACTTAGGCTACACTAAGTTTATTTTTAAAATATTTTTCTTCAGTAATAAATTAGCTCACCGTACATTTCTTACTTCATAACCTTTTTTTTTTTTTTTTTTTTGAGTTGGAGTCTCACTCCGTCGCCCAGACTGGAGTGCAGTGGCCGCTCCCAGCCACCGCAGCCTTGACCTGCTGGGCTCCGGCGATCCTTCTGCCTCAGCCTTCCGAGTAGCCGGAATTACAGGCGTGCGCTACCACGCTCGGCTGATTTTTTGATTTATTGTAGAGATGAGGTCTCGTTGCCCAGGCGGGTCTCGAACCCGCAGGCTCAGGCAATCCACTCACCCCAGCCTCCCAAAGGCGTGGGATTACAGGCTGAGCTTTTCAACTTTTTAAAGCTTTTTTACTTTTGCAGTAATGCCTAGCATAAAACACAAATACATTTGCACAAAAATTATTGTCTTTATGCCCTGACTCTATGAGCTTTTTTCTATTTTTAAATTTTTTTTTTTTTTACTTTTGAAATTTTTTTGTTAAAAAACGAAGACACAAATATGCACATTAGCCTAGGCCCACACGGAGTCAAGATCATCGATATCACTGTCATCTACCTCCATATCTTGTCCCACTGAAAGGTCTTTAGGGACAATAACACACCTGGAGCTGTCATCCCTTGTAATAATAATGACTTCTTCTACAGGATCTGCCTGAGGCTGTTTTATAGTTAACTTTTTTGGTAAGTAGAAGGAGCACACTCAAAAATAACGATAAAGGTATAGTATAGTCAATCAATCAATCAATCAATCAATAGCATCGGCACTTATTATCAAGTATTATGGACTTATATAATTGTAGGTACTAGACTTTTACACATCTGGCAATGCAATCGGTTTGTTTACACCACAAATGTGAATAATGCGTTGCACTATACGGTTCAGATGTCACTGGGTGGTAGGAACTTTCAGCTCCATTATAATCTTACGGGACCAACGTCATACAGATGGTCATTCTGGGGCACGTGACTGTAGAGATGTATAAGTGAGGCCATGCCCTGGGCTTCCTGCTCCCTGCCCTGGGCTCTTTCCCTGTATCAAGAGTTACCTCCACTCTGAGCACCACCACCTGACTAGCAAACATGCTGTGTAAGGACAGGGACCACTTAACACTGCTGTCCGCGTCCCCTGTCCCCTGGAGCTCCATACATTTACTGATTCCCAACCCAAACTCCTTCAACATCTATTGATAATTATGCACCTCATATGTAGTTGCCTGCTTCCTCAAAGAGAGAGCTTCTGTCTTCAGATTTATGAGAGCAAGCAGCCTCAGACAGCTGAGGCCCAGGAAACATGGAAGATCTTGTTTCTTCCATATGAAGAAACAACGCAGCCAGGCTCGGTGGCTCAGCCTGTAATCCCGCCCCTTTGGGAGACTGAAGTGAGTGAATTGCCTGAGCCCGCAGGTTCAAGACCCGCCTGGGCAACTTGGCGAGACCTCATCTCTACAATAAATCAAAAAATTAGCCGGGCGTGGTAGCGCGCGCCTGTAGTTCCAGTTACTTGGAAGGCTGAGGCGGAAGGATCACCGAGCCCAGCAGGTCAAGGCTGCGGTGGTCGGGAGCGGCCACTGCACTCCAGTCTGGATGACAGAGTGAGACTCCAACTCAAAAAAAAAAAGAAGAAACAACGTGATAAAACAACACAGCAATATTGTCTTATCCCCGTACCTTACTACCCAAGAGATAATATTCTAAGTCTCTTTTCTCACCTTTGCTTGTACTTAACTGATGAATACCTACATTCTTCAGTGGCAAAACAACATATAAAATTGGACAGTAGTAAGTATATATGGGCATTTAAAAATAATGCAAGTAATGTATGTAATAAAATGCCAGAAACTCACAGCATTCACCTCGGGGATAAGTGGGTGTTGAGAGTAGGGTATTTTACTAATTCCAGAGTGTTTATTTAAACTCTTCAGTCATAATGGAGTTATCGGATACTTTAGAAAATTAAACTCTATGGTCACTCATCCAGATTAAATAGATCCATTTTGTGTCTGTTCCATATTAGCCATGCATTCACTGAGCACTTTCTTCCATTATATTTTAGTCACTTTCTTGGCCTTTCCTTTGCCATCTTGGCTATTGGTAAGATGACCTAACCAATGTCAAGGGACAGAACCAATTTCCATTTATTTCTGACTTGCTCATCTTTCATCTCCAGAGAAAATGGCCCCTGAGAATGCCATTGCGCTTGGGGAAGAGAGCTTTGATATATTAACACATTCCCTAGAAAATGTCTATTTCCTCTTCCTGCTTTTTTACCTTTATAATTTGCTTTTACTTACACTGGAAAATATTCCACTTTTTGGTCACAGTACTCAATAGAGCAAGCCCAATTTTCAGGTAGCCTTACAAAGCCTCTGTCCAGATGTAGGTAATTATTTTATCTTCACATAATAGGGAGTTTCCTTAAGAACAGTGAATATGCCAGGCTCGGTGGCTCAGCCTGTAATCCCTCGCTTTGGTAGGCTGAGGTGAGTGGATTGCCTGAGCCTATGGGTTCAAGACCTGCCTGGGCAACTTGGTGAGACCTCATCTCTACAATAAATCAAAAAATTAGCTGGGCATGGTAGCGCGCACCTGTAGTTCCAGCTACTTGGAAGGCTGGGGCAGAAGGATCACCGGAGCCCAGCAGGTCGAGGCTGCGGTGGCCGGGAGCGGCCACTATACTCCAGTCTGGGCAACAGAGTGAGACTCCAACTAAAAAAAAAAAAAAGAACAGTGAATACACGACTCTTGGTGCCTTGTGCTGAAGTCACCTTTCTGTGTTGACTCTGAAGTTTCTCCCCAGACGCATCCTGGACTCTCCATTCCAAGGAGCAGAAGACCAACTTGCATGTGGCTTTTCATTTGCTACGTTAGGTTACTGTACATTAGCATATTCCATAAGACGCCTCTTCCAGCCTGTTTCCTTTGTTAAGAATGCTTTATTAGGCCGGGCTCGGTGGCTCAGCCTATAATCCCAGCACTTTGGGAGGCCCAGGCAAGTGGATTGCCTGAGCCCGCAGGTTCAAGACCCACCTGGGCAACTTGGTGAGACCTCTGTCTCTACAATAAAGGAAAAACTTGCCGAGCATGGTAGTGCATGCCTGTAGTTCTGGCTACTTGGAAGGCTGAGGTGGAAGGATCGCCGGAGCCCAGCAGGTCGAGGCTGCAGTGGCCGGGAGCGCAGCACTGCACTCCAGTCTAGGCGACAGAGTGAGACTTCAACTCAAAAAAAAAAAAATACTATATTATTAGAGAATTCAAAAAGGTGTTTCCATCTGAGAAATACACATGAGCTCTGAGTTGTCTGTAAAATCTAACCATTATAGTGGGCATGGCCATATGGACAAAAAGAAATTGTATTAGTTTTCTTGTTGTTGATGTGACAAATTACCCCAAACTTAGCGGCTTAAAACAATGCATACTTACTCTCTTACAATTCTGGTGCCAGAAGCCCAAAATCAGTCTCACTGGGCTCAAGTGAAGTTGTTGTCAGGGCTGGTTCCTTCTGGTGACTCTGAGAGGAGAATCCGTTTCCTTCTGTCCTAACATCTCTTGCTGCTCACTCTGATCCCCTCCCTCTTACAAGGACCCTGGCAATTACATCAGGCCCATCCAGATAATCCTGAATAATCTCCCCATTTCAAGATCCTCAATTGAACCACATCTGCAAAGTCCCTTTGTCATACTGGGTAACATCCACAGGCTCTAGGAATGAGGAAATGGACAGCTTTGGGCATCACTATTCAGCAGACCATAGCACCACGACTTCCCTATTCAGTGACAGTTTTCTTTAGCCTTTCCTCTTGTGGTCAGGCTGGCTTGGTGGCAGAGGGATGTGTGTGGGTGGCCTTGCCGATGCCCTTCAAAGACCCCATGCCCAACCCCTGCCTGCAGCAGCCTGCAGTAGCAGCCAGGTCTCCGCTACCTCCACCGGACAGTCAGACGTGTCACAGCCACACCCAAGGGCCACACCACGGTGCCAAGCTGTTTGCCAACCACCCTTTCTCAACCTTGCCTTCTTTATTTTTTCAGCATTGTATTCGTGCCGGGAGGCCACTGCGTCAGCAAGCTGAGAGGGAAATTGAGGCAAGATGTCAGGCCGGAGCGGGAAGAAGAAAATGTCCAAGCTGTCCCGTTCAGCCAGGGCGGGTGTCATCTTCCCAGTGGGGAGGCTGATGCGTTACCTGAAAAAAGGGACGTTCAAGTATCGGATCAGCGTGGGCGCCCCTGTCTACATGGCAGCAGTCATTGAGTATCTGGCAGGTAATGGGGACAGTAATGAAGAGGTCGCCCACTCCCTATCCTCATCCCCACCCCCACCCCTGGGTCCCTCTCACGGGCTGGCAAGGGATGCTCTGAATTCCTCTGTGGCTGGCTCAAGGCTACTGTGGGTGGTGACAGGAGGGTTGCTACTGGCCTCCTTGGCATAAGAAGGACAGATGATTGCCATGGAAGGCAAAGAACCCACAGTCAAGTAAGTGACTCTTCTAGAACAGCCTTGAAAAAAAAAAGTGTCCTGCTTTAAGCAATATGAAAATCTCCAGGCTCCCAAAGAAGAGAAACTGCAGGAAGAACAGGAGCATTGATATTCATTTTGTAAAAGGGGGTCTACACCTTACTACAAATTGCTTATGAAGCATTAGTTTTCCTGGTGCATTTAAACTAGGACTCTGTGTCCATAAATAATATTTATCTGAATATCCAAAACTTCTTCAGGTGCTTCCATGAAGCTGAGGTGACATATTAATGTTGCTCTTTACTGACATGGTTCTCTGTCTACTAAGGGGACATAGGAAACCTTTTTTCCATATTTGTTGTTACAACTTTTTTTTTTACTAAGAAATGAGATTTTTGCTGTGTGTGTTCTTTATCTGTTTGATTAACTTTCAATTTGGCTTTTCTGTTGTCATTCTCTTATGTCATAGTTAAACAGAAACCAAACTTTATAATATTAGGGATGCTTTTAAAAATATATACAAATAAAATAGATAAAAGTATATGTAAATAAGTGTGATTTAGTTCCTTATAGAGTCATTTTAGCCATGAACAACAATGTCTCTAACTTTGCCCAATGTTAACAAATTTAACAAGGTCAAGTCCCTTGGGAAGTCCACTGGGTTAGAAAGCAAACTTCCCCAAGGATTAGTTGAGGCCAAGTGCTTGAGACCAACCTGGGCAACATAGCAAGACCCAGTATTTACAAATAATTTAATTTTTAAAAATAAGCCAAGGCCAGGCACAGTGACTCACACTGGGAGGCTGAGGCAGGAGGGTTGCTTGAGCCCAGGAGTTTGAGACCAGCCTAAGCAACAGTGCAGGACCCCTTCTCGACAAAAAAAAAAGCAAATATTAGCCAGATGTGCTGGCATGCACTTATAGTCCCAGCTACTCAGGAGGCTGAGGCAGAAGGATTGCTTAAGCCCAGGAGTTAGAAGCTGTGATGTGCCATGACCATGCCACCGCACTCCAGACTATGTGACAGAGTGAGACCCTAACTAAAAAATAAAATTAAAATAAAAAATTAAATTAAAGGAGCCAAGCATTGTGGCACACACCTGTAGTCCTAGCTACTCAAGAGGCTGAGGCAGGATGATCACTTGAGTCTAGTAAGTTATGATCATGCCACTGTATTCCAGCATGGACAATATAGCAAGACCCCATATCTACAAAAAATTTTAAAAATAAGCCAGATATGATGATGTCCACCTGTAGTCCTAGCTACTAGGGAGGCTGAGACTGGAAGATCGCCTGAGGATAGGAGTTCAAGGCTGCAGTGAGCTATGATTGTGTCACAGCACTCCAGCCTGGGCAACAGAGTGAGGTCCTGTCTCTGAAAAACAAAAACAAAAACACACACAAAAAAGCCAATCTCCCCAAACATCTATTCCCTCCTCCAGAAGCCAAGCCCCCTCAGCATGAAAAGCCCTGGGGTATGGCAGGGCTAGGGCCTTCTTCTGTCCCCTGGCTCCTCTCCTTAAGAGCAATTTCTTCCCACTTTTCAACAGTCAGTCCTGCTCTGCCCTGTTAGTCCCTGTCGCTCACCAATCAGCATGCAATGATGAAAGCATTGCTTTGATCCACACGTGGAAACATTCTCCCCAGGAGCTTCCATCAGAAGCTCGAATCAGCTGAGCTCGGTGGCTCAGCCTGTAATCCCAGCACTTTGGGAGTCTGAGGTGAGTGGATTGCCTGAGCCCGCGGGTTCGAGACCCGCCTGGGCAACTTGGCGAGACCTCATCTCTACATAAAAAATCAAAAATTAGCCGGGCGTGGTAGCGCGCGCCTGTAGTTCCAGCTACTTGGAAGGCTGAGGTGGAAGGATCGCCGGAGCCCAGCAGGTCGAGGCTGCGGTGGCCAGAGCAGCCACTGCACTCCAGTCTGGGTGATGGAGTGAGACTCCAACTCAAAAAAAAGGAAGCTCGAATCTTAGGCCTCCCTCTTTACTGTGAAATGAAAGGCTTGTTCCTGGGCTAGAAGCCTTTCTGATCCTTGAGGAGTTTGGGAAGAGGCTGGAGGGCTCTGCAAATCAGTCCCCGCAGGTGTTGTAGAACAGTGCCTTTCAGATGGGGTCACCCGGGGCTCTTGTTGACAAGGGTTGGGTAGGACTTGAGACTGCAATCCTCATGAGCTTCCAGGTAATGCTGGTGGTGCTGGTCCAGGGCTCACACTCTGAGTAGGAAGATTGTAGGCAGTCTTTTAGCCACAAGTCTAAAAACTCGGGGAATACTTATTTAGATTGCAGGTTCCAGGCTGCACCCCAAGGTCTTATTCCCTAGGTCCAAACTGGGACCCAGGAGTCTGATACAAAAATCTCCTGGCTCAAAGAGGGGAGGAAGAGCTTACGATGCTTTAAAACAACCTAGTAGGACCGGGCATGGTGGCTCACACCTGCAGTCCCAGCACTTTGGGAGGCCAAAGCAGGAGGATTGCTTGAGCCCAGGAGTTTGAGACCAGCCCAGGCAACACAGCGAGACCTCATCTCTACAAAAAAATATATATAAAATTAGCTGGGGCTGGGGCGGTGACTCGGCCTGTAATCCCAGCACTTTGGGAGGCCGAGGTGAGAGGCTTGCCCGAGTCCAGGAATTTGAGACCGGCCTGGGCAACTTGGTGAGACCTTGTCTCTACAATAAATAAAAAACTAACCTGGGCATGGTGATGTTCATCTGTAGGATCGCCTAAGCCCAGCAGGTTGAGGCTGCAGTGGCTGTGAGCATGCGCGGCACTCCAGCCTGGGTGACGAGAGTGAGACTTCAAAAAAAAAAAAAATTAGCTGGGTGTGGCGTTGGGCACCTGTAGTCCCAGCTATTCAGGAGGCTAAGGTAGGAGGATTGCCTGAGCCCAGGAGGTCAAGACTGCAGTGAGCCATGATCGTGCCACTGCACTTCAGCCTGGACAACAGAGTGAGACCCCGATTCAAAAAAAAGACCAAAAAAAACCTACTAGGTCCTTGTCATCCACTGAGACTGGAAGATGCTGAGTGACTCAAAGATCCCACAGCCTCCAAATGGGAAGCTAGGACCTCTGACTCCAGGGACTGCAACTCCATGTACACTATACTACACTGCCCTAATGTTTGTAAAACGAAAGTAATTGAGTATTTCCTGTGCCACCATTAGACAAAAGTCTAAACTTTAGCACATATACAGAATTAGGCTTTTTGAATCGGTGGCATGTTATTCTTTGGTTCGGATGTGTGAGATGAAACAACCTTACTTTTTCATTCATTCATCCATTCATTCATTCAACAAATATTTGTTGAGTATGTGTATGTCAATGCACACAGTAAGTCCCGGTAACTGGGCCATCTATACGACGGGTTGGAGAGGTAAGAGAAGAGAGGATGAGCAGCTGGAAGGATGCCACTGCCAAGAATGCTTCTGCCCCTGGGCCAGGCTCAGCCTCCAGCCCTATCTGGGCCACGAGAAGGAGGAGGTGACATTGGTGTTCTGAGACCCAAGCCTGTCCTCTCTGTGTCCTTTCCTTCCCTTCTCCTCTAAACACAGATGGGAGTTGAAAGAACACAGTCTCAGGTGTCAGCTCAAATGTGGATTTACTGATATTCCTTTACTTTTTTGAGTCAGAGTCTCACTCTGTCACCCAGGCTGGAGTGCAGTGGCATGATCACGGCTCACCACAGCCTCGACCTCCTGGGCTCAAGTGATCCTTCTGCTTCAGCCTCCTGAGTAACTAAGACTATATAGGCATATGTCACCATGTATATATAATTTTAAATTTATGTGTATATATATATATATGTATATATTAGAGACAAGGTCTCACTATGTTGCCCAGGCTGGTCTCAAACTCCTGGCTCAAGCACTCCTCTTACCTCGGCCTCCCCAAATGCTAGGATTACAGGCATGAGCCACTGCACCCAGCCTTGGACTTACCAGTTTACCAGCTGTGTTACCTTAACCTCTCTGAGCACTGGGCGTTTTCCAGAGCTAGCTCATTCAACCCCTTTCAAATGAGCTAATGTATGTAAAATGCCTGGTGCTTGGGATGCACTCAATAAATGGTGATTCTTCTCCTTTCCCTTCTATTAAGAGCTGATAAAATCATTCAGGACAAAGGATAAATGACTAATTCCATTAAGGTGGTGTATTTTCAGGCCGAATTTGCATTTTAATGAGACAAGGAGTTTTAATCCAAAGAAATGAATCATATTAGTGGAATTGCAAGCCACTGCTCAGTAAGTAAAATGGGGGGTTTTCATCTTTGGTTTGTTTGTTTTTTGAAGGGACAGCCATTGATTTTATTTAGGGAAAGGGTTTTAAGATGGAGAAGGCTCCGTCACCCTTGAGATGACCTTCATATTCATGAATCAAATCTTGGCTGAGTACTTCGATTGGAACAGGCCTTGAAGATACAGCAGAAAACTAGCTGGCTTGGGCCTGCCTTTGCTGAGTTTACAGCCTAGCAGGCAGGACAAGCATTAAATACTCGCTGTAAGATGAGATGTATGTTGGGCAGGAAGTGAGGGAGGCTTTGGGAAGTGTGGGTGGAGGGAAGGGCTGCCTAATATAAAGCAAGAGTTGTTCAGACCTAAACCAGGTGCTCAACCCTGGTTTTTCTCAAGTCAGTTGATTTCAAATCCTGATGCCTGGGTCCCACATCTGACCCCTGCCCCGCCAAGACATTCTGGGATATTTTCTGGGCATCAGGATTCTTACAAGCTCCTTCAAATGAGTCTCATGGGCAACCAGGTGGGGAATTAGTAGGAGTTAGCTACATTCAGGTGGGGAGGGGTTGAGCCAGGA